GGTTTGGGACCTGTCACGTAAAACTAAATTCTAATGAAAAGGTTCAGAAAGCCTCGGATGATACCTTCTTCTTTTGGTGACGACCACGGCAACCGTTTAAAGGATTAGAATTTAAGGGCATGCACCTGGAATGTTCTAAGACTTAATGAGAAAGGTGACTCTGCCCGGTTGGTTGATGTCCTCGGGAAGACTAAATCTGATATCACTGCCATTCTAGAACTGTGATGGAGGGGCAAGGAAAAAACAAGTGAGCCTAACAACGTCTACTACAGCGGTCATGTGAAGGAGCTGATAACACAGATAGACTTCGTCACCGAGTATTTGCAATATCAAATGCAAAAGATGGTGATAGATTTAGATGTAGTAATTTTGCAGCTTTGCATATCATTTTTTGTGTGTGTTTTCTTGTTGTGTTATTGCACGGATCGTAAAACTTTGCAAAACGGTGTACGGACTTAGAGAATTCCCCTAATATTTTCACTTACCTGCACCAGGTTATAAAATTGGACACATTGTCGCGTGCAAAGAATGTTCCGCTCTTGGCAGCTGGCAAATAATACACATTGCCCATGGCGAGAATGGGACCGGCCAGGCCGGATGTCATTGAACGTGTCATCGACTTGTTACGAGCCTGCCGGCGCGCTAAGTAATCCTCAGCCGCTTGACGTACGTAGTTCGCATGCTGTAAATAATAAAAAAATAATGTTACAATTACATAAATATTAATAAAAATGTGAAAAACTAGAGGTATAAAAATTAGGCGTAGGGTAGCTGAATTAAATTTACTAATAAAATCAAGTTTTAATGCACATTTCTGAACTACTGTAAATAAATTAAAGCATCGAAAATTATAAGTATGTATGTATATTTGTATGCAAATTACTAGTAGTTCTAATATGTACACATGTACATAGGTAATATAAACTCATTAGTGCAATAAATAACTTATGTATGCACTTTTTTTTGAAACCATTGCGTAAATGTGTTTAAAACCAAAAATACCAAAGAATGTGCATATGCCTTCCGAATGCCGCATTTTTGGGTTGACGCGTCGTGTCGCTCTGCAAATAAAATCACTTTCTAGTGCATACGCATCTAAGTATGTACTACGGAAAATGCGCATATTTCGATTTAAANCTTTTTTTTGAAACCATTGCGTAAATGTGTTTAAAACCAAAAATACCAAAGAATGTGCATATGCCTTCCGAATGCCGCATTTTTGGGTTGACGCGTCGTGTCGCTCTGCAAATAAAATCACTTTCTAGTGCATACGCATCTAAGTATGTACTACGGAAAATGCGCATATTTCGATTTAAATATACATATCGTCGTTTAAAGTACAAAACCGCGTACCGTCATTCTGCAAAACTGCGTAACTGACATTTGCTGCCAAAAATTGGATTTGCGCACACAAGCTCTTGGCTCAATCCTTATCCATTCGTCCTGAAATACACCAGCCAGAAATTGCTTATAAAAAAGGGAACCATTTTGAAATATGAGTGTTTCTACTCTCTAGAAAATAATTTCTACAACCTCACATACGCGGTTTTGCATTTTGTTGATACGCGGTTTTGTACTTTAAACGACTGTATGTATGTATATACATACATATATGTATGTACAAATATATACATAGACAGATATACAAATACCCCAAAGGAAAAACTTTTTAATCAAACATTTGCAGCACTAGTTAATATAAGCTTGCTAATAAACTGTATCTGCCTATTAAAGGCTCAGCTAACAGTACGTTTTTTAATAGTCAAGCTAAGGTGTGTTGCAAAATTATGAAAAAACAGACTAAGGGAAAACAATTTTCAAGGAACACCATTTAGGTTGAAAAGTACTAAGCTTAATAAGGAAACTATTTAGCTTAAGGTATATTTAAATATACATATGACATCATTTATTGACTCCATATATATAGTAAAATACAACGCCCATTCAATACACAAATAATCCAAAAAAATTACAAAATTAACTTTATCTATCAGATTGAAATAAGTAAAAAGTCTAAGTCGGGCGAAGCCGAACATTAAATACTCGGCGCATGTATTAAATATAGTATGTATGTAGTTTTTTCCACCTTTCCGAAAACTACCATTACATGGTAAGCAGGGGTGGTTTCACCCCTATTTCAAACACCTTCAATAGTATGTTCAGTTAGACTTAATGAGATAAACTTATATCATTACTAAAACAAAAATGCAATGGCAAAATAAAATAAATCAGTTGTGTAGACTTTAAAACCTAGAAAATTCTAGTAGATGAAAAAGTAGTACATGCGATGGATTTCAGAAAATGCATTGAAATACATATTACTATTTCCAAAAAGTACCATATTTGTACCTTGAGCCAAATTTAAAAATTAGGTGTCATTTGAAGTAAAATGGGTTTGAGCCAAATTGGCAAGCCTGATGGCTAGTGTGATCTGTACAAGTTAAGCGGGAGTTCATTTTAACCCCATGACACGCCGGATTGGAATTTCAATTCCGTATCGCTCAGCATTAATGGTGACAAACTACTCAGATCAGATCATTATATTTCACCTGTGTGTAATCAAATCTTGCAATCAATTTTTAACCAACTTCCCGATGATCTAGAGACTTGAAACTTTAAACTTAGCTCAGAACCCGATGAAAATCCAATGCGAAGGATGAAATGATCCGTTAGTTGCCGATATATCATCAGAAACTACTGAAAATTCGCTTCAGATAAAACGCTCTTTACATACAATACATTTATGCAAGTTTTATGTACAGTATGTAATATATAAATAAACTTTTTAAAGTATCATAAATTGCACTTTACTTACATAAAACTTACAAAGAACTCAAACATTTTTAACCGACTTCAAAAAAGGAGACGTTATCAATTCGTCGGAATTTTTGTTTGTGTACGTTACCGCATAACTCTGGTGAACCGATTTCAACAACTCTTTTTTTTTTATCGGAAAGATGGTACCGTAAGGGTATTCCCGTAATTTGGTTTATATCCGATCATTGGATCATCAAGAAATTAATGTTTCTCCTAAATTTGTATATGAGAATTGAAGTCGGTTGTGTTTTTTGCTTACTTGTTTAATGAAAATTTCTATAAACACAAGATGTTAAATAAGTAATTTTTAAGCAAAAAAACCCGACTTCAATTCTCATATAAAAATTTAAGATTATCGTTAATTTCTTCATGATCCAATGATCGGATTTAAACCAAATTAGTACCACCTGTGAGGTAACACCTTTCCTTTACAAAAAGAATTATAGAAATCGGTTAACGTGGTCCAGTTATGCGGTAACATACATAAAAAAATATATATATACTATATATTCCGACGAATTGATAACCTGTTCCTTTTTGTGAAGTCGGTTAAAAAGAATTTTAATAGATATAAATTAATTAATTGCATAAAATTTTAACACTTTTATGTTCATTTTCCTCGATTTCTGGTTTCTAGTTTTCGATAGAGATGGTGACTATTCGCGATTGCCAATTTTTTTTAATATTTCGAGTACTGAAAAAATTAACTGAACTTGTATTTTTATTAAGTAGCTCATTTTGGTGGAACGAAATTGAAGTTGGCAAATTAAATCTTCGAATCCTTGTTAAATACATATAAGTGTTAAACTCATTTAGGCTATAAAGTGTAAGAAGCAACAGTACTTAAGTGAGTATGCATTGTATATTTTTGGACAATGTTTTCATTCGCAGTTAAACTTTTAAGAGCTCTCATGAAAAACGAAATATTTAAATTTTATTAGTGTTTAGGCGCGTCTGCTAACACCAGGCGCCTAAATACATGCTATACACTGCTGCTTACAACCATGCAGAGGTGGTAATAGTTGATTACCATTGGCCACAGTACCTACCCACTACTTTTTGGTCCAATAAATATTTTTGTATATATATACATGTAAACATGCTGGTCTCCCCTCTCACAGAGTTATTCATGGTCCTTCGAGCCGGATATTTGCGGCTTTTGTTATATCCACTAGACAACCAAGTCATCTAGGGGGGGCTGGTATGTTCAGGCGCGTCCGCTAACACCAGGCGCCTAAATACATGCTATGCACTGCTGCATGTGCTAATGTTAAAATAAAGCTATTAAAAATTTATAATAATTTACCTCATTAGTTTTTCTCTTTTTACTTGCTAAAATGTTCTTGAAATTGTTTGGTTATCGGAGAATATTTTGAAATATTATCTTGTGGTGTGAGATGAAGGGTGGTTAGGGGCTGATACGCGTCCGCGCTCGGTTGTGATCAAAATGGAATGACCGCGCTAGTTTTTGACTCGTTTAGCCGAACCCTCAAACAGCGAACTGTTTTGAGGGGAAATTTGGCTAATTTGTTATAATGATTGGCGGGAAAAATAATGCAATTGTTTATATGCTCATATTCGTATGTATGTATGTATGTACATATCTGTGTGTGTTTAGGGTGTTTCACCCTCTTTACGTTTGGTTTAGTCGAGGGGCCTAAACATAGCACATCCAGATTTATTTTTATTGATGACATGTCTATTTTAAAATTAATAACATTTTTCTCACGAAAATTTTGTGTTTTCTGGAAATTACGTCTTAAGTAATTAATTGTAAAAACAAATGTTTTTAAAGCAAGCTTTCTTAATATGAACGAAATCGGACCATAAATACTGGTTTACCAAATATATAGAATCGTGCCCCACCTATCGGCAAAATTTTTAATGGAGTTATTAATTTTCATGTAGTTAATATATGTTCTAAATATGAACCAAATCGGACTATAAATACGTGTTTTTCAAATATCTCGACTCCTGCGCCCCCTATCGGATTAACTAATCTTTCCTATTGCATTGTCAATGGGTTCTGAGCCAACTTTCAAGTCTCTAGGTCATCGGAAAGTTGATCAAAAATTGATTGCAAGATTTCCCCCTAACAAACACAGATAAATACATACATACATACAAAGCAAGTTAAATAAAAGTTTGTAAAAAGGCAGCCGCCACGGTGGAGTGGTTAGAGTTGCGCACTAGCACTAGGACCAAGGTTCAATCTATGGTCCAAGTAGCACAAAAAAACAGTTTTTTCTAATAGCGGCCATGAAAACACCTCTCATCGAAAACCATTTTCTGTTCGGAGGCGGCATAAAACATTTGTTGTTGTAGCGGCACTACTAAGCTACGCCTAGGACGGTTTGTCCATGAATCGTTGTCGCCGAGCTCAACTAACGGTAGGGCCAATAAACGAGCTGTTGCGACGGGGCCGGACTAAAGGGAGAGAGTTGTTAGCTGAGTGGGATAGAGCTGACATGTGAATAGGTGGTTGGTGTCAAGGGGGCAAGGGCAAAACTGTAGGTTCCTAGGCTTTGTGTGATAATATCAAGGCAATCACCACGAATGGAAGGAGAACCTAGCTCAAGGACTTTTACAGTTTTACAATTAAACAGTAACTAGACGATAGCAGCTAGTAATTGCAGTACAGCCTTTGCTAATGGCTTTGCCAAGAGGGTAGGCATTAATATATGTACATGCATAGATACTTACCTATGCGTACATAGCTTTCGTAAATCTAAAATACATTAGGTATTTGAAAAATTGCAAATAAGCTAAAAAATTACGTATTTATAAAACATGTCGTGCGGATTACGAGTATCGGTGAATTGGCTATTTTCTGCAGCAATTGGCAAACGTTACGTCTTTATTAGATGGGGCTGATGACCAAACAACCAAAAGTGAATATGTCGTCGCATACTCGGAATGGTGAGGTGAGACTCTTCGCGATACGTATACATATGGGTTGCTCGCTAAAAAATATAGTAAGTATGTATGTACACATACACATGTACATATATATATATACATATATTATATATGTACATGCATTTAAATATTTGATTTTTTTTTAACATGAAACTTTCAACAAGCTTCTCTTTTTTGGTGCCGGATCATGGAAACGGGAGTTTGTTAAATGTCGAGATCTAAAACTATTCAGCTACAGAATCAAATTTATCAGCTGATTGGATATGCTAAAGATAGTGTTTCAATTGTTGAGAGTAGATAGTAAAAATCGAGTCCGATATAAACAACGGAAGATTCGTTTAATTCAAAATTTGCATGGTTTGCATGGCTTCAAAAACAGAGGTCGAAAGTGTCTTGATACTCGAGAGGGAATATTAAAGTTTACCTCAACCAGAAAGGCCGGGCTACTAATCAAGCTTGTCCTTAATTTTATGATAAATATTATACCTAGCATTTCTCTACGACTTGCAAGTGTAGGTAAATTAATGAGTTTTAGACAACTAGTGTAAGAAGGGAGATTGTACTCTGAGTCCCAGTTAAAATCACGCAATGCAAAAAGAATAGTTTTTGAATTCATTCAATCCTTTTTGAATGAATTTGGCAGCGGGTATTCCAAACAATAGATTCGTATTCTAATAACTAAAGTGGTAAAAAGAGCTTTTGTAACATAAGGATCTTTGAACTATTTTGACCATCGCTTTAAAAATGCAAAAACGCATTTGGCTTTATTGACTGTAGCGTTAATACATATGGAGGTTAAAATTGAGTTAAGAATCCATTGTGATACCAAGGTCGACGAAATTGGATACCTGCTCCAGATTATAATTTGATATTGAATAAACAGCTGGTTGAACTGCCCTTGTAGAGAAGCGCATAACTAAATTTTTTAAGGTTTAGTGGAAGAACAACTTTTAAAAAGAACTCTTTGCACTCTTTCAGAGAGGTAAGAAGAGGTCCATTGAAGAAGACTGGAGTGAAAGCCGATTAGATCGAGTGTATGGTAGGGATGGGTAGTGGGTAGTTGGAATTCGATTTTTTCTGAATTTCGAACATGGCCTAACCATTCGATTATTCGATTGGGAACAGGGGCCTATTTCATAAAGTGACAGTGATAAGTTAGGCATTTTCCGTAATGTCAGTGAAAAAATGTCGCCGACAATTCTGGCAGTCACTTTTATGAAATAGGCCCCATGTGCGACAGTTGTCGATTTTTCTATAAAATTTCACTGCCAGTATTGTAGGCGACATTTTTCCTGTTTCATATACGTTTGTAGGCAACTGTGAGAATTTTTGGAAAACGACAGTGATAATGTGGAATATTGTTGACAACTGTGCTGACAATTGCCACTCTGACAAAATTGTCGCGACAATGGCGACAAAACCAAATAGCTCCGTCGGAAAGCTTTCACAGGAGAGTTTTGTAAAGTTATTTATATGGTAATTGCGCGCATTTCATTATTTTAAATAATTTGAATATTTCTCAAAACTAAAATAATGCAAATGCAATTATTACATATGATTTACATATAAATTTCATATGACTGGCGACAATTTTGTCAACGGCAGTTTTAAACCCCGACAATGACAATTTGTAACTTTTTCAATGGAATTTCTCATGGAATGTAAGAGGTGGTGACAATTGTTTCCATGAAACGAAACACCCACCAAACTGTCGAATCGTAACTGACAACATGGAAAATGCCTGTCGTTACAAAATTATCACTGTCGCTTTATGAAATAGGCCCCAGGTGTCTACGAAACAGGGAACATGTCTCCAACAATTCCGGCTCTGACAATCGGAAAAATCGACAATTGGCGCTCCTGTCTCCTTTATGAAATAGGCCCCTGAACAATAATGTCTGTCCACTTAACAACATTTTAAATTTTATTATTCTGATAAATATTTTTTCAAATTCGCTGGTAAATTTATTGCATTTATTAAAACTTTCAACTGTTGGACTGATAATAAAATAATGTAAAAAAATTTAAAACAGACTTTTATTTGACCACTAAAATAAATAAAATAAAGTTAGTCGAGGCTTTTGTTAAGATTACTGAATGCTAAATGGTAAGTGTATTAATTTTCGTCCGATCGCCTTCAAATACCTGAATACTTTTTCAAATACTCCATGAAATATTTTGAATTTTGAAGTATCTTAATCATTGTAACTTTTGCCTTTGAATATTACTTGCATATTATTGTAACCTATCAAATCGATTATTGTGAATTTATTAATGTTGTTGTAGTTCGAACTTTGTAAGCGATGGGAAAGGGTGACCCGACCTCGCCAACCTAACGCGAAGTCAGTCAACTCGCGACCGCCACCGCAACCCTTTGCTATTTTTCAATTGCTGAGCTATGCCCCTCTGGCTAAAACTAATACAATTTTATATACCCCAATTAAATAAAATAAATTAACCTTATTATACATACGTATACTTAATTCAACTTGTTTATTTTAATTTTGATTTGTCGGCGCACCCTGCACCGCTTCCCCATCATATTCGAACCTTAGGTACGAACAGTACCTAAATAGGTATGTTCATTTCAGTAATTATATTTACCATTTAGCCTTTGTAACCTTAACAAAAGTCCTGACTTATTTTATTTTATTTATTCTGTTATTTTATGGTAAAAAACGTCTACTAGTAAGAACTAGTAATAAATATTGGTAGCTATCCGTTGCAAAACAAACATAGCGCGGACATTTCTATGATGCCGTCTCACAAACAGCTGATTCTGTCAAACTCGCCAAGGACTAAAGCTGGGACTCTATAAGCAAGCGTATGCGTGCATATACGCATGTGTGCGTTTGACAGCTGAGCTGTATACACATGTTGTTATGAGATAAACTCCACAAGTACGCGCGTAAGCGCAGAGAACGGACAAAAATTCGAACATGAAGTCGAACACGCATTCGAATGCGCAGAGAGTTGAATTTTCTCCACTTTCATGCATTTGCTTGCGTTAGTGGCCAATTTCAAGTTAATTACGTTTGGTAAGTATTTTCTTAATATATATGTATGTATAAAAGTGTGTAGAAATGTTGCATCAAATTTTCGAAATGACAACTATCTAGCCGTGGGTAACACAGTGCGGCGTCGCGCCATTGCGCTGATACCGAGAGCTGAGTTACTGGCGCCGACACCGATTCTCACAACTCAGTAACGCAATGGCGCCAGCAACACCGGAACACTCACAACACCAGGCGGCACAAAGAACACACAAAAGCGAAGTGTCACTTGTAAAATGTGCATCACAAGGCGAATTTTTACAAGGTGGTGTTGCTAAAATTAGCCGCTGTCCTTCTGGATGTGTGTTTGTTGTATTTTTGGGTTTCGAACTTGGGTATACTTGAGTTGTTTTTACCCGACCGATAGCACCTTGTATTAATTTACCTTAGTTCAACACCGGAACACGGACAACACCGGGTGTCACAAAGAACCAGCAAAGAACATCCGAAATAGAAGTGTCTCTTGTTAAATGTGCAGCACAAGGCGAATTTATACAAGGTGGTGTTGCTAGAATTCGTCGCGGTCTTTCTGAATGTGAAAATGATGGGTTTGTTGTATTTTTGGGTTTTGAACTTGGGTATACTTGAGTTTTTTCTCAACCGATATCACCTTGTATTAATTCACTTTGCTGCAGCGTGCAGCAATAAAGAAAATGAGCTTTAGCCTGAAGAGGCGCAATTGCGCCAACACACTGTGCTGATTCCGATAGTGGCGCTGGAGCTAGTGTGTCAGCGCCAAAAAATTTGCGCCGTTACCCAGGCCTACAACTATCAAACGCTTGTAAGCTCACACTATGGAGTTGCTCAGTTTTTACGCACGTAAGCGTATGCCAACGGATCTCGCATGCGCATAGGGATAAATCGATACCATCAAGGTATTACTCAAATCAGTACTTGTACTTGTATCAAACAAGGTATCGCGTACTTGTACATAGACTACGATTTTGCATATCTTTCAAAGTAATTGTATTGTTTTTTCACAAAAAATTTGCATTTTTACACGACTATTTATCTTTTAATAATTTTTCAGACAAAAATTTAAGACAACAATTATTTTTCTATAGTACTTATTTGATTTCAAAAAACAATAGAATACATTTTTACAAGATTAATAGATAAAGTTTTTTCATATAAAATGAGCTTAACAAAATAACTCCTTTTTTTGTTATATTTCCCAAAAACATCAACTTTTCCAAGTGTTTTCCTGAAAGGCGGTTTCGAGGTTTTAATATAGTTGTATCTGTTTTTGAGAAAAGCCTCTCGCAAGGGACAGATGACCCAACAACGGTTATGTATAGACGCAGCGTTGCCGTTGAGAATTTTCAGAAAGTCGAAAAAAGGGGTTCATTGACGAAAAAAAGGGTCACCATATTATTTTTGCTTTTCTTTACTAGTAAAAGAATAAATTTGTTGAATTTAAAAAGAAAATAGTGGGACCAGCTTTTCACAAAACAAGGTTGTAAACATACACATAAATCGAGAAGAGTTACATTTCCCTTAAAAGTTTTAAGTGATGCATTTTTACGTACTTATTGGAGGAAATATTTTTTAATAGCATGGTTCTGTTAACATTTCCTAAAAAGAGTCTCTGAAAAGGGGCAAAGGTCGCACATAACTTTGGAAAAGGATCAAAAAATCAAAATTTTCAAAAAGTCGGGTCAAAGGGTATTGGCCCTCAAAAAGAGTCACATAGCCCCTTTAGTCGCACAACTTCAACACTGTATAGACGGGCTTGCTTATATAGCTACGGAAATGTATTGCGCATATCTTCCAATTCCTCTAATGGGTGGCTTTTCGAAGAAGATGCTGAAGCATAATAAGTTTTGCGCTTCCGATACGTGTACTTTTCTTACGGTTGCCAGACGTACTGATTATATCAGTACAGTACTGATTTTTCAACTCTCGTACTGATTTTATTCATTTCTTCAATCAGTACGCTATTGTCCTGATTTTTCAAAATTTGTACTGATTTGTACTGAATTTTCAATTCTGAGCAAACAAATTTGTAACGGGTCTTCTCACCGAGCTTGGAACTCGGTAACTCGGTGTTCGGTAGCATTTACATATGCAAATACATATCGTGTAAGAGTGCTGTTAAAGGTGCTTTATATGCATATACAAATGAACATATTGCACGAAGGCTTATGCATCTATTTCACACATAAGCTAAACTTTTTCAAGTAAATTTGCGAAAAATCAACACGGTGCCACTGCTAAGGGAGCGGTGCGAGAGAGGCAACTGTCTGTTTATCGAGCCCCTAATTATTGAATCATGAACGCTGCCGCAACTTTGGGTTTTAAAATTATATATTTTTACAATTTTACACAACTAAAGCGCGTTCGAAAAATTTAGTATGTCTTAAAAAATTGACTGCTTTGACGGTTTATTTTATCCTCCTATTCGGCGCAATCTTGTATTCCATCATTCTTGACTTTTCAATGAGTAAATATGTATAAAAAAACAAACTCATTTTAATGGAGTAATGGACAAGTAAGAAAGCTAAATTAATTTTAAGTGCAATAAACTTCTGGTTTGTGAACACGTTTGACCACGTTAAAAATTTATTGGGCTACAAAACTGCATACTCAAAAAAAAAAAAAATATCTGATTAAAAAATTGGAATTTTTCATGAAAATTTATTGAATTTTCCTGAGTTTTTAACAGAGTTTAGAAATTACATCTTTATGTTTTTAGCTATAGTACGAATTATATTTTTATAAAATATAGAAAAATAAATTTTAATAAAAAATATTGTATACCGACATTGTGAAATATTTTGTGTGAAAAAATATTTTTTAATCCAGTGAAATTGAAAAATAATAAATTAGAAAAAACCATTTCTCTTTTATTACTGCCAAAAATTTTTTGGTACCTTCAAACCCGTTTTGGTACGTTTTTTGGTAGGGGAAAAAATATTTGAGTGGCAACACTGCACTCAAATGAAGCACCTCTTTTAAGTAAGTACAAAGTTTACTTCCTGGCGTAAAGACACTGACTTCTTATTAAAACTTTTGAAAGCGGACTCCAAATTAAAAGTAATTTTAAAATGAAGTGCAAAGAATTCTTTGAATTGCTATCCAAATATGTCTTTAATATTAAATAATTTATTGGCTCCTGTGTACAATGATACTATGTTTAAGGGTATTCTATACTACTTGTTAATGTGTACACTCATGCTAAAATGAATAACATTTTTAATGTTTATGAACTACATTTTATTTTTATACCAAAATAAAAAATTAATAAAAACAAGTACTCTGGAGTTTTACAGTATTAACTGTTAATTACTCATTCATAATTTTGCTTTGAAAAGTACTGATTTTTATAGCATGAAAAAAGCTAAGGTACTGATTTCGCACCAAAACAAATCTGGCAACCCTAACTTTTCTTTCGATACCTACTTGGATCGCAGTAAAAAGTATCGAGTACAAAAATACTTGGTAAATTGAGAAAAATATCGAGTATGTACTTGGATTTACTTGTATCGATTTATCCCTACATGCGCACGCATACGCTTGCCTANTTTAACAGAGTTTAGAAATTACATCTTTATGTTTTTAGCTATAGTACGAATTATATTTTTATAAAATATAGAAAAATAAATTTTAATAAAAAATATTGTATACCGACATTGTGAAATATTTTGTGTGAAAAAATATTTTTTAATCCAGTGAAATTGAAAAATAATAAATTAGAAAAAACCATTTCTCTTTTATTACTGCCAAAAATTTTTTGGTACCTTCAAACCCGTTTTGGTACGTTTTTTGGTAGGGGAAAAAATATTTGAGTGGCAACACTGCACTCAAATGAAGCACCTCTTTTAAGTAAGTACAAAGTTTACTTCCTGGCGTAAAGACACTGACTTCTTATTAAAACTTTTGAAAGCGGACTCCAAATTAAAAGTAATTTTAAAATGAAGTGCAAAGAATTCTTTGAATTGCTATCCAAATATGTCTTTAATATTAAATAATTTATTGGCTCCTGTGTACAATGATACTATGTTTAAGGGTATTCTATACTACTTGTTAATGTGTACACTCATGCTAAAATGAATAACATTTTTAATGTTTATGAACTACATTTTATTTTTATACCAAAATAAAAAATTAATAAAAACAAGTACTCTGGAGTTTTACAGTATTAACTGTTAATTACTCATTCATAATTTTGCTTTGAAAAGTACTGATTTTTATAGCATGAAAAAAGCTAAGGTACTGATTTCGCACCAAAACAAATCTGGCAACCCTAACTTTTCTTTCGATACCTACTTGGATCGCAGTAAAAAGTATCGAGTACAAAAATACTTGGTAAATTGAGAAAAGTATCGAGTATGTACTTGGATTTACTTGTATCGATTTATCCCCACATGCGCACGCATGCGCTTGCCTGTGGAGTTCCAACTTTACTCACGGTACCGCTTAATGTGCCACCTTTGTCTTCTCTGCATCGTGATAATGTATTGCATAGCAAACTCATAGCCAGTTTCACGAAAGCATTTTAAGTGAATATAATAATTTTAATTTTAATTTAGTATGGAAACATGGAAAAAATAATTTTTCCCATAAATTGATTTTGTGAAACCGGCAGTAAATTTCGCTCATTTGCGGCACGAATTTCTTGATCCAAAAAATCAAACATTTTGGACGAAAGCACGGAAAAAGAATGCAAAATGTGTTGTTGTGGTAGTTAGATTTTTTGATGATTATTAATTAAAAGGAAATAGGGGTATTCTCGAAGTCTTGCACGATGCAGGGATTGCACGAAATGCAAAAATACTATTCCAAATTTCGAAGAGTACGAGAGCACCCCATTGCAAGGGTAGCAAGCAGCGAAATTACCCTGCAGAAAATATGATTAGCTCAGAACTAGCGTTGAACTAGACCCTTTGCCTACAGTACCAGTTCTAGCTCAATACCGAAGCAATGATTTCAACTGTCCAGTTTTACGCGGCGATATCATTGGCGGTGGCAATTGTCGCCCAGTGCATTACTTTGCAACTAATTTTTAACCGGTTCCGTTTTGGACAGTTTTTTTTATAAGAAAACGTTTTTAAGATTCGCTTTTTGGATATTTTTTTTCATTTCTTCTTTTCTTTCACAGATTTTATTTTTGGTACATATTTTATTAAAAAAAAAATATTTTGAGCAGCGCGCAACAATTTAAATTCATTAAATTTGAAAACTCACAACTGCCTTCACCGCGATTTGAACTCGCGACCAACGATGCTTGAGTCAGAAGTCTTCTCGCTGAGCTACTTTCGTATTGTACGAGTAGTGAGCATTTGCACATTTACACCGCAAGTTTCAACTGTCCCGCTCTGCATCCGTTTTGTACTATTTCAGAGATAGTTCTGATATATATAGTTCGGAACTAGCGCTTTGTCAGACTGTCTCTAAATTTTACTGCAGGGTATGTATCAAATATAATAACAAGAGACAGCTAAAAAAAAATGGAGTGAGCGAGATGAGAGGAACGACAGAAATATGTAGCAACCAAGAATGATATAATACAAGATTGCGCCAATGAGAGAGGATTTTTGAGCAATTGCGAGAGAGAAATACCAAAACGCATATAAAAATATGTAAAGAATGCAGAAAAATGTGTTAATTTTAATATTACATGGCCCAATTTTGCATGAATCAATAAATATACAAAGATTGATTAATTAGGAACACGTAGCAATAATTTTGGACATGTAGCCCTTTAGGTAAGTACGATTTTTAGCACATGAAAAAATGGATGTATTAACAGTGTTTGCAATTTCATGTAGACCGAAAGGAAGGTGTGCAGCAAAGTGAATTTTTGGTCTCGCCATTGTAAAGAGCCATGCAGAGTGCATATTTATATTTGTGGACGGTAGCCAACCACCATAAACTCCACAGCTGTTGACTCCACAGCTTTAATTTGATGACTTTTGTACCATTTCCGAGAGGATGCATGAGTGTGGCTTCTTTGGAAACAAATATTCTATGTAAGTAAAACATAATTTAAGCTGAACTTTTAAATGTATAATAATTTGGGCACTGTTTTGTATTAGGTACGTAACAGCGCGGTAAGATGCCGCTTGAATTAGCGCCTGGCGACCTTATCCACTGGTGCATTACCTCATACCAGCACTAAAAAAATCAGGTACTAACAAAAATAAGTAGGTAGTGAAGTTCATGTATCTATTTACTGTAGAAACTGCTTTTGTATGTATGCCATTGCCAGCAAACTAAACCAGCAACTGTCTACATTCACCATGAAAATATACCTACTACAATTCACCAAGGAAAGGCCAACATAGTTCCATGTAGAAGCTCATAGCTCACACACATAGCACAAAGCTCGCTTTGGTGTTTAATGCATCTCCTCGCCGGCAGAACTGCTTCCACTTTTTCGCCAGGTTTGTGTCCGTAGGAAACGAAAAAAAACTTATATCGCACGCTTTCCTTTTGTTTTCACTATTACACTTTGCCACTGCACACTTCATTTTGCTTTGTAATGTCTCAATAATTGTTTCAAACCACGCACAAATATTAAAATTCTTATTTGGTTTTTTTCGTATGCTCACAATCAACAATTGCACCAAGATGACGTCACGCACACAGCTGATTCTGTTAAAATCACAAAGAGCGGATTAGCGGTTTGGCGCAATCTCTATTTCTCTCAATCGTGTGTAGCAACTAGCTTATACCCGCGGGTTTCACCCCACGTTTTTATACAAATATGAAAAATAATTTGATGATATTATATATTATTTCTGGGCCCATTTCGTTATAGCTCGTTATTTTTTAAGCGAGTTAAGGTATTTAGGCCGTTTAAAACTATAAAATCATGCGTTTACCTTAAAATGGTTCTAGGTATACGACGCGTGAACGTGTAACCTTCTTGGAGGTGCCACAACGGGTTCTAATATTTCTAACTCAAATTTAGTAACCTGGCCTTGATAAAATGCCACTTCTCATTACTGTAGCAAATGCCTCAAGAGAGCTTTTGATTATAAGGCCGAACCCGGCTCTCCCTTTTCCATTAAATTAAATTTATTATGTCAGTGCGGCACTTATAAAATAAATCTCCATAACAAATTTAAAATACTTCCAGACATTTTCTATCCTTCCAGAGATATGTACTAAGAAATTTTTGGTATGTATGGGAGGCGACGTGCCTCCTTTTTTAATAACTTACATTTTTTCCATGAGCAATTGATATATTTTGTATACACAACTCCATACCAAGTTCCAGTATTCTTCCACAAACAAAATATGTGGCAAGAAAAAGTCAATTTGTACAGGAAGTGCTACGCCCCTTTTTCTTATGAACCTAATCTTCTTCCATGAATTTATAATTGATTTTACATACCCCAGTACCAAGTCCCAGTACTCTACTATGAACACCTGTAGAGATATGCAGTATAAAACAGTAAACTTGTACGGGAGGTACCGTGTCCCCTTTTCGAATAACGCAAATTTTTCTCCATGAGTATGGAATTAATTTTGTATACACATCTCGGTGCCAAGCTCCAGTCCTCTGCAATAAATGTAGCATAGAAAAATCAATTTGCATGGGAGTTGCCACACCATCTTTTCCAATAACTCTCATTTTTCTTCATGAGTATGATATTAGTTTCACATATGTATTTTCATATCAAGCTTGAGTAATTTACCCCAAACTTTTTAAGAGATATGCAATATGATATATATGATATATAATATATTAATTTAATTAAACTTTTTTAGCAGGTGGTAACTCTTAAAAAAAGTAGCCTATTTTTCAACCTAGCTCATAAGCTATCTGTGTGAAAACTTCCATGCAAATCAGTTCACTCATTTCCGCGTATTAATTAAATTAAACATTTCTAACAGGTGGCAACTCTTAAGAAAAGTATCCTATTTTCCAATCTAGGTCATAAGCTATCTGTGTGCAAATTTTCATGCAAATTCATTCAGTCGTTGCCGCATATTAAATAAATTAAACTTTTTTAACAGGTGGCAACTCTTACAAAAAATAGCCTATTAACCAATCTGGCCCATAAGCTATCCGCGTACCAAATTTCATGCAAATCCGTTCCGCCATTTCCACGTGATGATTTCGCAAACATCCAAACATACAAACTTTCACATTTATAATATTAGTAAGAAGTAAGATTCCAACAACAAAACAACTAGCACAGGGTCGCATTTATCTTGCTATGCTATTTTGCAAAATATATACATGGGTTTCGAGTTTGCATATTTTGCAGCGATAGGAAATGTTGTTTCCCATGTATTTTGTTGTTGTGTGTTTGCAAGTTATGCAATCCCTGCAATCCATGCTACGTGCAATTTGGAGAATTCCCCTAATATTTTTGGTTTTATGAAATTACAAGAATCGAATGCAAGGCGCTTCGCGAAAAATATATCGTAACATGTAAAGAAGTATAAGTGTGGGCGAAAACGAACTTTTTATACACAGCGCACGCATTTAATATCGTTTTTACACCTTTCCGTAAACTACATGATAAGCAAACTTATTGAAATAATTGGACCAAGTTTGGTGGAAATCGATAAAGCGGTTACCGATATACACTTGTGTTGTCATAAGTGGGTGGTGCCACGCCAATTTCCAAAAATCTATATTCTTATTAGTGTTAATTTTACTCACAAACTACATACATATGTGACCTTAAAAGTGACTTCTCCCAACCGTTACAAAATACTGTCCCACCCGTCCCAAGCTAAAAGAGGTTTTCTTTTTTAATTTTCAAAAATAATAATGCCATCACAGCATAACATGGACCTTAATATTCTACTAACTACATTCGGCCGCTGTGGTGTAGTGGTAAGCAGTGCGCGCTTTCACTCATCAGCACCTGGGTTCAAGCTTTTTCTTAAGAGCGGTCGTCCCTCGACAGGCAATGGCAAACCTCTTAGCATGGGCGTAGCCAGGAATTTTTTTAGGTCTTTTTTCGAGGACAATTTCTCAAAAATCAATGAAAAAACGAGGACATTTTTTTGAAAAAAAAGTAGGACATATTTATTGACTAGAATATTGAGAGATACTTTAAAAGTATCATTTTTTGGTTTCTCAAAATAGAGAAACATCGTTAGTATATGAAACGAATCAAATTGATTTTATAAATTTTTACCATTGATTTCGCGTTTTATAAAACCAATTTTCTGGGATTTTCAGCAAATTTCCTGAGGAGTTCATCTACTATTTCGGTTTTTCTTTCCTTTACCATTTTCCGATGCACACTGAATAGTCCTGAAAAAAATAAAAACATCGTTATCATATGAAATGAATCAAATTAATTTTCTAAAACTTTACCATTTAGTCGATTTTCGCCCATGGTTGATCTTAGCCAGGTTTTAACACGCCGCAAAGTGCTGAACGACCTTTCTACGGTGCAAGTCGTGCAAGGTAGTGCCAATAATATTTCCAATGCATGTGATACAGCAGGAAAAAAGGTGTCCGCTTCCGTGATTACGTCGCACACTTCCAAATTTTGCATCGCTACTCCACTAAGCTGTTTGTCTTTCCAAGTGTTATACCATAATTCAATTTCTGCACTTAGATCCAATTCATAAAATTCTGAAAATGGCTTGATGTCTTCTTTCAAATCGCCAATACTTTTTTTCAACATAATGTATGGATGCAATGTGAGTAGTGAAAATGCAGGCAAATTGGATGACGCGAATCGATTTGCAAGCGATGATATCAACGAATCCAAATACGGAATTAGCAACGATATTTTCCAATAATCATTTGGATTCGATGCAGGTTGATTTGAACGATGCTGCTGTCGTTGGGTTAGTCTGGGCATATCCAATTCAATATCAATCGACTTCGCTATTTCTTTTGCCTCGTCTAGAATTTCATCAATCACGGTATCTACAGCGGTTCGATGGCTAGAGATAACAGTTGATATTCTATCAAGATGGTCTTTGCATTTGAGCAGGTCAAGACTTTTAGATTG